CCCCCCGGTGCCCTGCCCCAGGCATCCCCAAGAGCTGCTGGGGTGCTGCTGGGTTGGTCCCGCAGCCCCGAGGAGCAGTGCTACGGGACCAACCCGGCAGCACTCCAGCTGCTCTGCCCTAGGCGTCCCCGATTCAGCCGCTGGTCAGTTTTAGCAGCGACTGAATCAGGGAACCTGGGAGCAGAGCAGCTCCAATGGTCCGGCTGCCCGGAGCACTTCCCGGTTCCTGATGGTGCCGGACCATCAGGAGTCCCGGAGCATTGGATGCCGGACTAATGGAGTTTTACTGTAATTGATTTCATTGTACCTAACTACACTTCTGTCAATGAATGTGGACAGTTAGGGTGTGTCTAAACTACATGCCTCCGTCGACAGAGGCATGTAGATTAGCCAGATCGGCAGAGGGAAATGAAGCTGCGATTAAAATAATCGCGGCTTCATTTAAATTTAAATGGCTGCCCCGCTCTGCCGATCAGCTGTTTGTCGGCAGATCGGGGCAGTCTGTTAAAGTGGGGTTTTGGTTTTGTTTGGGGTTTTTGCACCGATGCAGTTAATACAATACAGTTATGTACCATTAGTTCATATGGGCTGCATCAGTTTAAAATGTGACTTGCACCAGTTGTATTTTAAAAATGAGGTAGCCTGTAGTGGTATAAATCACAGTTTAAACAGGTGCAAGATGTGTACTCTAGTGTTCTGCACTGATGGAATCACATGACTATACCTGCACTAGTGCAAAACCCCCACTGTACTATACGCAAGGCCTTAACCATGCCCCATTTATTCAAGAATGCAGCAATATAAGGGTACGTCTAAACTACATGCCTCCGTCGACGGAGGCATGTAGTTTAGACGTACCCTTATATTGCTGCATTCTTGAATAAATGGGGCATGGTTAAGGCCTTGCGTATAGTACAGTGGGGGTTTTGCACTAGTGCAGGTATAGTCATGTGATTCCATCAGTGCAGAACACTAGAGTACACATCTTGCACCTGTTTAAACTGTGATTTATACCACTACAGGCTACCTCATTTTTAAAATACAACTGGTGCAAGTCACATTTTAAACTGATGCAGCCCATATGAACTAATGGTACATAACTGTATTGTATTAACTGCATCGGTGCAAAAACCCCAAACAAAACCAAAACCCCACTTTAAGGTCTCTTCCTTATGTATCCCAGATGAAAAGTTTGTAAAATAAGACTAATATATTCTGGCTCTTCTGTTTGAGAATGAATCTTATACTGTCTACAAAAACGTGGCATGCCTGCATTAATTATAAATCACAAAAATCTGAGTTAGTCAAATTATAGATTTGTGAGATGGGTGAGGATTTCTTATGTTAACGAGGCATGATGCATTTTGCAAAAAGTGACTGTAAATATATTCGTTCTAACCATCATTCTGGTGAACAAAGTAATACAACTAAAAATAGCTTAAATTATTGTGTACAATTAGGGAAATGACATGTAATAACATGTATGTATCCGGGTAGTAGAAGAGTTTCTAATTAGAAGTTCTTGGGGTGCCAAAACCAGTCTGTAACTTTCACATTCACATTGTATATGCAGAGATACTTGTTAACAGCCTGGAAGCACGAGAATGCTGTTTATATATGCCAGTTGCATTTCTTGGAAACTATATATGTAGCAGTTAAACGAGGGGAATTAATGCTACCCAGCTGCCGCCTACTGGTGAATTATGACTATGACATCAAGCACTCAGGAGTGTGTAACTGGAAAAACGTAAAAATCAACAAATAGTCTTGCAGTGTCTTAGAGACTAACAAAACATGTAGATGGTATCATAAACTTGTGGGCATAACCCACTACTTCATCTGAAGAAGGGGCTTGTGCTGACGAAAGTTCATGATATCATGTACATGCTTTGTAAGTCTCTAAGGTGCTGCAAGATTATTAGTTGTTTTTTAAGTTATATCA